AGAAGAGAGGTGGGTCCAGTGAGGCACTGGTGCCCAGTCTTCCAGGAACAGAACAAAGTTGGAGTCCAGTGGCACCTTTAAGACCAACCAAATTTAATTCTGGGAAATTTGAAGGTCAAAGAAGACGGGGACGGCAAAGGATGAGATGGTTAGACAGTGTCATAGATGCAACGAACATAAAGTTGAGCAAACTTCAGAGGACGGCGGAAGACCGGAAGGCCTGGCGTGATCTGGTCCATGGGGTCGCAAAGAGTCAGACTCGACTGTGCGACTGAACAACAACAAATAAGCTTTCATGTACATGCACACACCTTCAGACTTTTTGAAACAGACTTCCTGAAGCCTTACATACGGGGTTGAGGGTAGGATCCTGTGTAAGCCAGAGACACCAAACTCACAGGGGACCTCCCCCAGAGTCTCCTCCACAGGTTTGTTGTCTCCAGCTTGCACAGGATCTGTTCTATACACTCCTCAACCTGCACCTGTCAAAAATGATCAGACACAGGTTCAGGAGTGTTTTGAACGGACCCTGTGCCAAGCTAGAAACGCCAGACTTGGAGGGCAGATAAAGGCGGTCCTTTTGACAGGCGCAGGTTCAGGAGTGTGTAGAACAGATCCTGTGCAAGCTGGAGACAACAAACTTGCAGAGGACCTTCAGCTGACTCTCCTCTAACTGCCCTTTGGCGAGGAAGCCAGGTTTGGTGAGAATTGGCTTTATGGGGTCCAAGTTACAGCCCCCCCCCCAGAAGATGCCCCCAGGAAAGTGCTTTCTAGGGAAATGACACCTCGGGGGGGCAGCAATAAAGGGCTTCAGATTCTTCCCCAGGGAGGGGGAGGAGACCTCAGCCGGTGGGGGGAGGGGAGTCTTGGCTCTGTGCCTCTTCGGGGCATGGAACAGGGGTCACTGGGTGTTAAGTACAAGACTCAACACAGCTAGTGAACAGTGATTCAGCTTTATTCAACGTACTCAGAAGAAATCAAGAACGAGACAAAAACATAGAGCAACAGGCTCTCTTTTAAACAGTCCGGGCTTGGGTAGCCACGCCCACATGTCAGCTAACAACCAATAACTATGTACAGATAAAGTCCAATCAGAGTGCTTCCCTCCAGACATTTGTGCAGCTCTGATTGGTCTATGTACAATCTTGTTTCAGACCGAAGTTTAACATGGTTTTCAATACATAACAGTGGGGGTTTGGGGGCGGGTGAGGTGTGAATTTCCTGCATTGTGCAGGGAGTTGGACTAGATGACTCTGGAGGTCCCTTCCAATTCTATAATCCTATAAAAACAGGGTCCCATTTAATTACTCCGCCCCCCCCCCCATGTAATGGAGGGAGCTGGGCAGGCTGCCGCACAGCAGCAGCCCCAAGAAGGGAGGTGGGGGAGAGTTTCCTTGCCCTGAGCCCAGTCAAGGATCTGTGTGCTGTGTGCTGGGAATTTGTGCACCAGCACAGGCTGGTGCAGCTTAGAGGGAACACTGCCTGGGACCCTCAAACCTTTGGAACTGCCCCTCCTGCCATGATCTTCTCTGTCTTCTCTGATCTTCATCTCAAAATTTATTGGAGGTCCCTGGTCCACAAACTGTCTGCTTTGTGTCAATGAAGGTGAGGGCCTTCTCGATAGTGGCCTCTGTCTTTTGTAACCAGCTGCCTTTTTTGGGTGGCCTTTGGGTGATTAAGAAGATAAGAGAAGCCAATGTTGGATCAGGCCAGTGGCCCATCCAGTCCAACACTCTGTCACACAGTGGCCAAAAATACCAGGTGCCATCAGGAGATCCACCAGTGGGGCCAGGACACTAGAAACCCTCCCACTGTTGCCCCCACCAAGCACCAAGAATACAGAGCACCACTTGCCCCAGACCGAGAGTTCCTATCTATACCTTGTGGCTGGGCAGTGAATTCCATGTGTTAATCACTCTTTGGGTGAAGAAGTACTTCCTTTTTCTCGTTCTAACCCAACTGTCCTCAATTGCATTGAGTGCCCACGAGTTCTTGTATCCACCAGGCAGCTGGTAAATGATGCTCCAGTTGTGTCTTCACCATCCAACCATCCTACCCTGCTTGACAATGGATAGATTTTAACCGGGATAGATTTTTAATCATTCTGTATTTTTAAAGTTTATTTATTGTATTTTTGTACTGTTTTACTGAATGTATTTTATATGTTGTTAGCTGTCTCAAGGCCCATTCAAGGGAGAAGGAGCAGGATATAAATTTGATAAATAGATACATGGTGTTATGCACACAAATATTAGGATCTGTCCATTTGATTAAACAGACCAAGAATAAAAATCTTAACAGGCTTTAAAAATATTTATAGGAGTTTTCAAGATTAGATAAAAACAAGCAAATGGAAATTGCAATCCATCTTGAGTCTCAGTGAGAAAGGATGACTAAATGATGTGAAAATAAATAAATATTCACTGAATAATTAAGACAGAATTTCTCACAAAAGAAAGTAAAAAAACCCAAGGAATATTAAATTAAAGTATTGCTAAGTGAATCATGATAGTACACTTAGCATATAGCTGTAATTTTAATTTAAAACAAGGAACAAAAACTTCAAACTACTTGACATTTCCAATTAACGAGCAACAACATCTGCCCAAAATGAATTCACCTTTGAAATAGATTCAAGAATATTAGAGCTTTCATTAACAGAGAACAAGAACATAGAATATTTTTCATTGCATTTATCACACTCTAAATAGTGTCAGTAAAAAGCTAACTTTTCTGTTCCTCACTATCTTGTGCCTGGATTCAGATCAATGGCTTGTGGTGGTTGTCCATTTCTTGTCCATCCTAATGGGACGAGTATTGTCAATATAAGAGGGTGACTGCCAAACTGGAGTTCACTATCTTATTTTTCATGGTAGGACAGTAGAAACCTGATTAGGAATCTTCCTGTTCCAGTCCTGCAGAGACAGACAAAACAAGACTGAATATTTAGAAGCTAACAGTAAACAATTAGACCATTTCAAGTCCACAAAACAACACCCAGCTTCTTGTCAGCCAGGATAATTAGCAATGTCGTGCAATCCATTTCAATCAATAACAGATTTTTAACAGACTTCATAAGAACATGGGAACAGTCCTGCTAAAGAAGAAGAAGAAGAAGAAGAGACAGGATTTATACCCTGCCCTTCACTACCCAAAGGAGTCTGAGCGGCTTACAATCTCCCTTCCCTTCCCTTCCCCACAACAAACACCCTGTGAGGTAGGTGGGGCTGAGAGAGTTCTTTCAAGAAATGCTCTTTCAAGAACAGCTCTGACAGAACTATGGCTTGCCCAAGGTCATCTAGCAGTTGCAAATGGAGGAGTGGGGAATCAAACCTGGTTATCCCAGATTAGAGTCTGCGCACTTAACTACTACACCAAACTGGTTCTCCCACTACACCAAATCAGACTAAGGGACCATCAAGTTCAGCATTTTGTTTCCAACAGGGGCAAGATGCCTCTGGGAAACTCACAAGAAGGGCATGAAAGAAACAGCCATCCCCTCCCCTTCGTGTTTGTCCCCAGCATCTGTTATTCAGAGGTACACTCAGGGCTGATTCCAGGTCTCAGGGGACCCTGGGCAGGAAGTGCCCAGCAGCCCAGCACCCACCCAGATCTCCCTTCCTGCCTACCAACCCACGTGCCCCCCACCTAAGGTTGCCAGGCCCCCCTCAGCCACCAGCAGGGGATGGGGGGTAGGGTTGCCAGATTCAGCTTCTTGTCATGAGTCAGCCAGGTCTCAGTGATAGCGAGGACGCCTCAGGAGAAGAGGAGCCCTGTGTAACCAACCTTGAGTCAACAGAAGCTGAGCAGCAGGAAAATGAGTTGCAGGCTTACACACTTATAGCCCTGCGGACAAAGTACATCCTTTGCCAGAGCCATTGGGCAACACATGCAGCCAGGAATATGGGTGGTGCAACATTCGCAAGCAAGTAGGTGGGGGAAAGGGGCACCGTTGGGGGCACGGCAGTCGTGGGCCCTGCTGAGGCACATGGGAAGCCACTCTGTAAGCGTGCTGTAGATGATATGCTTAATTGTCCCATTAAATGTAATTTGGTCCTTGTGTCCTGGAGTTCCTGAACAACTTTGAAGCTCTAAGGCCAGAAGGACGGGTAGTGGCCATTTTGCGTTAATTGCAGACGGAATCTGAGCAAATTACATTCAGGATGCTCTTTTTGTAATGATACCTTATGGATCATGTTGGTTTTAATGAGATTTTATTTTTGCTGTCTGAGAGAGGAAAATAATTTCATGCATTATGTCTCGCTGTCAAACGTCTGCTACAAGTGTTTGTAAATTTGATATGTATTGACTCTGCTTTAATTATGTAACCTTTTGGTAACTTTGCTGCTTTTTCTTTTCTTTCTTTTTTTTTTTGCAATGGCTCACGGCTGACAGCTAGTTTCTCTTCCCTGCTGAAATGAAGCCCAAATATTGTTCCTCTCTTTAGCCCTGCCTGCACCTCCCTTTCCTTCTTTGTTATCTTCCCTCTCTCAATTGTTAGATTGTAAGACCCTCAGGACAAGGACCTGTCCTCCTGAGCTTTGTAAAATGCGATGCACATTGGCGATACGATAACCTTAATAATAGTGGTTAGAAGCTCCCAGACAAGAAAGGATACAGCAAATCTGGCTCCTGGCCACGAATGGTGGTATCTGTTGTGCCCCGAGTGACCGGCAGGGGGCAGTAAAATGGGAAAGGATGGTTATACCCTCGGCTTGTTTGTGCCGGTAGGGGGCTGTGCTGTCTCCAGTGCAGGGCTGCCAGCTCTGGGTTGGGAAATTCTTTGAGATTTGGAGATGGGGCCTGGGGTGGGCAGGTATGGGGAGGGGAAGGACTTTAGCATACTGCCCTAACTTAGATCCTCCCCTCCAAAGCGGCCGTTTTCTCCAGGGGAACTTATCTCTGTTGTCTGGAGATCAGCTGTGATCCCAGGAGATCTCCAAGCACCACCTGGGGGTTGGCAACTCTACCCTCTTGGCCGGCAGTCTGGTATCAGGATGGTTCAAAGGGTGAGGCCACCTCAACAGACCAGAGGGGCTATGCAGGGATAGGTTCCCCGTAAGAGTCTCCGGGTCCCAAGCCTGATGTGTCAGCCGGGTCTCCAAGAAGACAGGCCACTGGCCTCCACCGCTTCTTATCTCAAACCAGTTCCTCCAGACTGTCAGGAGCTCCCCGCATTCCCTGCCCATCCCATGCCAAGAACAGAAGAATGTCTAATCAATCATTTTGTGGCCTGATTTCCCCTATTACCGTGTGCCCTTGTCATCCTTCTCTTCCCTCTCTACAATTTCTGGCTGGTCCCTGCTCTGGAAATAAATAAGGATGGGAGGGCTCCAGTGGTACTTCAGGACAATCGAAACTTATAACCCGTTTTCTGCTCTCCATATTCAGGCATGTACCGGTGTGGTCCCGCTTCAGTTCAAGCCATTAAACATGGGCATGTCTGCTTCCAGTTTGATTCTCCTTTCATCTTTGCAGAGGTATGCATCTGTGCCAAGTGTTCTTCTCTGACCAGCATCAGTGGGAACCATGACTGTAATGAAATAATGTCATGTCGCCTATTTAAATCAGGCAGCACAGTCATCATTACTACTATGTAATAACATGATAGGTACGGCATGGAAGTTCAGCAATACCATTCTTTCCTAGAAGGCTTAACAGTGGTGGAAAAGTGCCGTCAAGTCGCAGTTGACATATAGCGACCCCTGTAGGGTTTTCAAGGCAAGAGACCTTCAGAGGTGGTTTGCCATTGCCTGCCTCCATGTCACGACCCTGGTATTCCTTAGGGATCTCCCATCTAAATACTAGCCATGGACAACCCTGCTTAGCTTCATGAGATCTGATGAGATTGGGCTGACCTGAGCTATGCAGGTCAGAGCAGAGTTACACCCTTCTAAATCAATTGATGTGGCCGTGGTGGCTCAGAGGTTAAGATGCTGAGGTGCAAACTGGAAGATCTGTAGCTCGGCAGTTCAAGACCCTAGTGCCGTGGGACGGAGTGAGCTCCCGTCTCTGGCCCCAGCTCCTGCCAGCCTAGCAGTGCAAAAGGAAGAAATTGCAAGTAGATAAATAGGTACCGCTTCGGTGGGAAGGTAACAGCGTTCCATGCGCCTCGACGTTTCGTCATGCCGGCCATATGACCACAGAGAAGTCTTCGGACAGAAGGGCTGAGCCAACCTGGTTGATATGTGTGGAAAATACGCTTGTCCTTTTTGACCTTCTAGATCAATGTGTTCTATGCACGGGGTTTATAGTGTTCAGTCTTTTCTTGGTACTCGTGGTAGCCTTTAATTATTTCATTAATTTCTTTCTCATGGTGTGTATGACAGGAATTTCATGACACATTATTTAGGCATGTACTGACCCTCTGCGTCTTGACTCAGCGTGTGACTTAATGCTTTCCCTTTATTTATTAGGTTAACAGTGATGTTGTCTACTCGAACGTTATGACAAATGGGAAGAAGGAGGTTAAATATATTGACAAGACCCACATTGGGAAACTAATTCTGACCAAGGCACTGGGTACGGATGAAAAAATGGATGTTACTGAGACCTACAAATTCAAAGAAGGTAATTCTACAGCAAACTCAGAACATACGTCCACATGTTCATGGAGCAACTTCTTTGGTTGCCTTGTAAGAGTTTCCATTCTGTAAAGACTGAAGCCAGTGGCACTTTGCCTCCCTCCCTCTCTCCTACTGTCACAACAGAACACCAGTTGCTCAGGCACATAAGTAAACAGGGCTATTTTGGGGCAGGAACGCACGGGAACGGAGTTCCGGCAGGCTCCCGAGTTGGCCACGCCCAGCAGGAACTCATTAGCATAATAGGCCACACCCAACAGCAGAAACTCATTAGGATTGGCTACATTAGGGGTGTGTGGCCTAACATACAAAAAAGCTCTGGGTTTTGACAACAAACAAGGTAAACAGAAGAAGAAGCAAAAGGTGGGTGTGGCTGGATGACCACACTTCTGGTAACATGGGGGTGTGACCTAATAGGCTATTGATCTGTGCTGTCAGGGGTGTGGCCTAATATGCTAATAGGTTTCTGCTGTTGGGTGTGGCCTATTATGCTAATGAGTTCCTGCTGGGCTTTTTCTACAAAAAAAGCCCTGTAAGTAAATATTGAGTTATAGGTGTTTCAAGGCTCAGGTAGCCAGATATAGCCTAGTGACTCCAATTGCTAGGACTGCCAACTCCAGCTTCGGGATTTCTTGGGGATTTGGGGGTGGTGCCTGAGGGGGGCAGAGTTTGGGAAGGGCAGGGAGCTCAGCAAGGACGTAATGCTACTCTAGGGCTTCTAGAGCCTAGTTTCTTTCACACTCTGTTGTATACCATAGAGTCTACCCTACAAAGATGCTAATTTCTCAGAGAATCTGATTTCTCTAGTCTGGAAATCTATTGTCGGAGAACTCCAGTCCCCACCTTGTTCTTGATAACGCTACCAGCTGCTGGCCCCATTCTCTTTGGTGGATCCATAGGCCTTAGACTCCCTCTTTTGTGAAGCCTCAAACTCCCCCTTATATGAAGCCTTTGATTTAATCCCTGTTCCCAACCATGGCCAGCAACAGCGGGAAATCCCTTCTGGGAAAAACCCAGAAGGGATGTCACACCTCCTTAGGAATTATCATAGAGTTTCCCGATAGAGCATTCAACTATTTGTACAGCATATTGATGTCACTTCTGGTTTTTCAGTGGAAGTGTGAGCCAGGAATACCCTGGCCCCACCAGGAAACTGGCAAGCCTTCCCCCAGCTGTAATGATATCTAAGCACATTTTGGTATGTTTGTGTATAGTCATCTCCCATTAATAGGGCTGCCATCCCCCTAATGGGGGCGAGGGTTCTCCTGATTTTGGGGGTCCCGATCCGCTACCAGTCAGCTGGCCAGTAGGGATAGCCCCATCCCAAAGAGCCCCGTCCTGCCTGACGTGCCTGGCGCGATGATGTCACCCAGAGGTGACATTGAACTGGGGACGCCCTAGCATTTGGGCAAAAACTCTATGGCGACCATAGAGTTTTTTCTCAAATGCTAGAGCATCCTGCTGACGTACCTGGCATGATGACGTCACTTCTAGGTGATGTCATCGTGGCGAGCATGCTTTGTGTGCACACCAGAAGACTCATGGAGCGGGACTGGACACCCCCCCCCCCCCCTCCGCG